ATGTGGTTCAGATCCTTATTTAGGTTTTCTGACACACTAGTAGAACTCCTAGTGCGATTACTCAAAGGGAAGAAGGTTATTTCCCAATTGTGAAACAGTCTACTCAGTGACGGTGAGCGGTGAAAGTTAAAGAGATGAAGAAGACAGTGAATATAAAATAAATGACTCTTTAAACTATTCCGCGTAACTGGTGTGAAGAATTCAACCATTAACGAACTTATTGTCGAGAAACACATGTCAGTGATTCACTTCTAACGGCAGTGACCAGCATAACATCCTGGCTCAGATCAGAGTGCAGATACACCCAGTAGAATTCAAAGTCATTGGACAAATAAATGTGGAGGACCAAAAAGTAGCCAAAAAAAACAACAACAGATGACCATGTTTAGAAAACGACTGTTGGCTGGCTGCAAATCTACTTGAGAATGAACATTTCAGTTGCTCTTCACTTAGGGTAGTGTATCTTAAAAGGCTATCGTCAGAAGTATTTACAGATTGATACCTAGAACTATTGGTTAGACCAACAAAAGTATTAACTAGTGTGACAGCCAGACCCATCTCTCAAAAAGAAAGAAAACGGCTTGTAAGGATATCAAAGAGATCACTTGACCGATATAGTTATTCGCTGCCTAGTTGATACTCAAAGGCAGCAAGGCTGATACAGCCTTGGAGATGAGGAATATTGACCAAATATTCCGCACCCATTATTTCCTTTAACAAATATATACTGGGGCTGACAACAGTTGTATTCCGACTTGAAGTCAACATTCGACTCTCCCTGGTGAGGTTAAGTGGCAATCTTCCAGAATTAAATAGATAAATAGTCTATCAATTTTTTGATCTTATACTTAAATACTAGTGACTTTGAGGGCCTATGTTGAACTATTTGCTGAGGTGTCTACTACCAAGTGTCCGTCATCCATCTTTAATTAGCTTCGTCATACAAGCAGTTGAGGTCATATTTCCTATGATTTTTAGGGTTTGGTATACCTCCAAGACAGTATTGAGTTGCCACCAGCTGTTGAGTGACAACAATGACTTGCAATCTTTCGAAGGCTGAAGATATTCGAAATACGTTACCCATACTATGAACGTTAATAGTAAGTAAAAGGTTGGTCTTCATCGATAAACCATCGGATATTCACAGCTAAGTGATTGATCACATCACTCATCCGTTTGATGTATCATAAGGTTTGGTGGCCGACAAATTGCGGCATAATTACAAATGAGTTGCTTTGATTTCACTAACCAGTAGTGGTGACAAGATATTCAACAACCTAAGTTGAGGGCAAAAAGCAACAGATAGGTTTGAAAACACCTTACAGGATCCTTTGTATGTGTTAGGAAAGGATGTTAATGAGTAAAGGTCAAACGTAAACTTTTATGTAAGAGGGGAGGCCAAACTGAAGAGGCTGGAACCACATCGACTACAGTGGCAGGGTGGTGTGGCGAATGTCAAACCTACCCCCAGCCCAATGCTCCCAGGGTGACCAGAGAAGGGTTGATTGTCCACAAAATCTCCGCATGTTTGTCCAAATTGTATAAAGAAGTGTAAGCCGCAGGAAACAACTGGGATCAGTGAAGCTTAAGTGATTCGGTCCGAGACAAATCTCGTTCATGGCCATAATTTAAGGCATTGTTCCTTACTTCATTTTCCTCTACCCAGCTAACATAACATCAATCCGAATTTCTACAATCTACGACATCCACAAAAGTATCTATTACAAACCTTTTTCTGGTAAAACTTTTATTCCGTAATTCGAGAAAAAGGGCATCACCAACTGAATTGTCAAAGTCAGGCCTCTTATCAATCTCATACTCAAGAATCGGCTGAACACATCCATCTGAGAAGGATTTACACAACGCGGATCTTTTGTGCGTGAGAAAAACGACAGTGGTTTTCATCGAGATGGTTTGCTTAATCATATGATTCTACGAAACTCCTTTGATGGTTATCAACCTCACCTCATAACTGGTTGACAGTACTTCATAAGCCTCTTTAGGGGAAATGACAACTCCAATCCGCTGCGACTTTTCTTGGTCTACCTTTATCATCTTCGTAACCAGTCGTTCTACCTCCATACAGTGACACTGTAACTTGGATCGCTGTACAAGAATACGGAGTCAATGTTGTTTCCATCAAAAGTCAGTCATTTTCAAAACAAGACATGGAGTTACTGCATAACAGTCCAGATCAGCACACCACACATCAAGATAGAGAGACAGACACAATCAAAGTAGACCCTCGTATACAAGTGCATAGGTTCAACTCGCTACACTTCACAGTAGTATAAAAAAACATGTGGATAGGATAGACAAAGCTGCATGGGGTGAGAGGAAATCTTAAAATTAAGGTTAGCCAAAATAACCAAGCTTTAGAAGGTATCGAAGAGTGAATATATTTGCGACCGCTTTTCAGTCATTTAAGCAAAAGTCCTCAAACGCTGATTCTTATCATCTCGGTGATCCCACCCAAGTAGTCTACATCTCCGTACACGGTTTAGACAAACAGTCAAGGACTTCATGCACCGGTTGCACGTCTTAGTCTAGCCACCTAAACCCTCTTTCAACTTTACTTAGAATGGCACATTACGGTCGGTGAGCAAAGCACATGTTCAAGCCACCTAAGTCGATGAAGGTTCATCAACCGTCTTCCCTTTCTTGCCCAATATCCTTCAGCTAGCTTTGACATTGCTAACATGGTGATTCCACCAAATGCGAGAAATGGTACGAAGACACCTGTGATCAAGAACTTGCAGCCGCTTCACATCATAAACTTTCAACGGCCATTTCCCACAGTAGTATAATAGGACACAACGAACTGCAGATCAGCGTACCCGTCCTTTAATAGGTAGCTGAGTATCTCACCAGTCAGCACCCTAAGTTGAAGCAAAGTTGGCAAATGCCAAACGAGCCTTCTGAATGCAATCAGAGATTTCGTCAGCAACCAGCTCGTTCGGATTGATGCAAACTCCCAAGTCAATGTAGTGGTCTACGCATCCCACCACTCCACTCTCCATCCTTACACTAGGGGTAGCTGCAGACCAGTCCTGAAGCATCATACAGTTGGGAGGTGTGAGGCACATGCTTAAAATACCCAAATTTCTGCTCAAGGCGTTCAAAGGACACGGTACTTAGTCACCATCTTCACCTAACAGGGCAACGTCATCTGCTTACTCCAATGCAGCTAGATGCTATCTAGGCAGTAGACTCACGTGAGGTCAGACGTGCCTAAGGTTATGTCCATTAGTACATCTACAACAAAATTAAGTAGGAAAGGTGACAACAGATACCACTAATTGTCATCAATTCAGATGACAACTGTCGTTATCCCCTTACACGACTGCATGAGTTTGAATCGAAAGCTTTGGTTTGCGTTGCATACTTGCTTGGTACTTCTTTCAGTCAAACACTTTCACAACACCTTACGAACAAGAGTCGAATGCCACCTTCAGGTCAAGAAATATGGCAACTGTCAGCCGATAATGCCTGTGTTCCAGAACCTGTGCAAGTCTGATCGATGCACCTTAGTACATGTCTGAAGTCTGCCTGGTCCTTTCGAATTTGAAGTGATCGAGATGCAGATAGCCATCGGTTAACTATGGACCCAAGGATTGTTGACACTATGTCAGTAAAACTGATTTGCATAGTATAATAAGACGGAGTTTATCTGAGAAATGTGACGTATTCTAGAAACAGGTCACAGGACTGACCCCAAAACAGCTTCCAGACCATTGTATAAGAGCCGTCAGGACCGTACACAGGTTCATTGAAGCCTTAGCTATACTTAAGTCCAACCCCCACTTGTGTATTCAAAAGTTTCCCCTTACCTTGCTAATCTTTATCTCGTTTTAATGCCAAGGAAGGTGCGAAAATGTATTATTCCTCCTCATTAACCTACATATTTTCTAAGTCTTGTATCATCTTAGTTTATTTTACCCCACCCTATTTTTATCTTTCATATAAAAATGCCTTGACAAATTAGTGCGTGATCAGATTGCTCGAAATGTATTGCGCGAATACATCACATTTTTCAGATTACCTCCGTTTCCTTATCACATTATGCAAATTCATCAAAGGGACTAATTGTTTAAAATTCCTCGATGAAAGTCACAAAACTTATCTCCTTCCTTAAAGACTGGAACGATCAGTGAAGTAGACTAATCTGACGGGACTAACTCTGATTTTCAAAAACTACCTAGTACCTCCATCACTTCAATTAGCCAATTCCTACCTCCATCCTTGGAAACGTAGTGTGGAAAATTGTCAGGCACTGCTACTTTGCCTCATTACGGTTCGATATTATTTCCTCGACTTCAAGGAGAGTTGAAGGATTGAAATCTACGTCTCATTCAGGCTGAATGTTGAGCAAATCAAGTTATGCTGAGGGCTAGTTAAGCTGTGCTTTAACACTAGTCCGCTCTCCGCCTATTTTGCTTTCCTTTCCCACCACTGCTTGAGAAGAAATGAAAAATAAACTCAAGTCACACGAGATGTATCAAGCAAACAATGAAATGATAGGACGAAAAGGGTGATGACAGTGTACTTAATCTTTACCACGTCAGTTAGTCTTCAATCATCGATTCAGGTTGTTACATGAATCTCAACCTGGGAATTTTAGACTTCTTTGAATGACCTAACAGACAGTCGTCATAGTAACCCACCCGGCCTACCGCCATTTCAACTCACATAGCGCACCAGAAGGGACAGTGGCACATTCAAGCCACTTTTAATTGATAGGGATCCACAATCGCAGCGAGTGGCTTGCCTGGTACTTCGAAATCACTCGCGTGGTTGAAGCACTATGGGTGCGATTACCCGGAGACACCTATGACCAGTTTCCTGAGGCGAGAATGTCACAACACAGTTAAATAGACCAACACATATTTATTTACACCCTATATTATCCCAATTCTATTAGCAACATCCAATGCATCGAAGTCTGGAGGAAGCTTCACATAGGCCTTTTTGAGATTGTTGGGACAGTTAAGCGTATTAACCTTGGCAACTTTAATGTTATACAGCTCTTGAACAGCGGCTTTGATGGCTGGTTTATTAGCTCTTCTGTCAACAATAAACACAAGTGTGTCATTATCCTCAATTTTCTTCATAGCAGCTTCCGTAGTGACTGGATGTTGGATAATACGGAAAGCATCAAGCCTAGGATAGCAATATGAATACCCGAAGGTAGCACTTACTTATTTCGTTTAGGTATTAAAAACCGCCTGTCTTTTGGGCAACGCGGGGGTTTGTAGGTTTTCGGCCGTCTGAACCTTGTGGTGTACATTACTCGTTTTTTGCCCTTCGTGTGCGTACCAAGTGTAATAGCACGTTGAGCTTTGAGTGCCTTTTGGACATCTGTAAACGAAAAGACATCTCATTAGGGAACTCAGAAGCAAAAACAAAGGTCTTATCTGACAACTATTACTTATTAGTAGAATAATATCTGCAAAAACTTACTCTTATTCCCAGGCTTAACCACCTTGCCGCCCTTAACACTTCTTAAAGCCTTAAGAGATTTTGAAGGCTTTTGGATCTTTTTAGATGCATCTTTAACACTCTTTGCCTTCTTAGGCTGTTCGCTAACTTTCTTTTCCTGTTTTTTTGGTGTAGCCTTCGGAGCCATGCCTCAGTCAAGTGTAGCGCGTTTAAGAAGCGAGGGTGTTCAAGAAGCGCTCGTCCAACTGACAATACGACTCAGTACCCAATAGTCTTCCGGTTGCATTTATATTTATGCTACTTTCAGTCTTCGAAATTTCTAGGTTTACAGTTTTGAAGACTTTTTAATCCGAAAACCTTGAAAATCATCCAATCCAAAATCCACTATCGATTGTGCAAACATAGGAAACTGATAGATTTTGATCTCGCGCGTCATGTTCCTAAGGCGTGGTTCCAGTTGTCCGGTTCGTGGTCAAAGAAAAGTCTTCTTCTTTCTTTCCTTTAACCTCGGTGATGTGGATGTTTCATGGGTTAGTAAATTGCAATTTACAGAGTGAATGGAAATCTAAGGGTTGCTGGGAAATATAGGGTTCTGTTGGGACTCCTGTCAGTGTAGGTGCCCGAATAGGGATGGTAAGAGAGTAAGAAAAAAGTGTGTAGGAATTAACTGAAAGGTAAAAGCAGACAGCGTAGGTGTAGTCGCTAGAGAAGAGTTAGTAGATAATGTTGGGTTATTATGAAGAGATATAGTGCAGAGTAGGCAGAAGGGAATAGATAGCGAGCTAGTGAGGATAGTGAGTCCCTGAGTACGCCCGTGGTGCACCACAGAGGGTTACATAATTGTCTTCTGAATAATTCTACGGAGGTGCCACGAGAACATCCCCCGGAAGGGTATTCCACTGTAGCGTCACACACTTCCCCAAAATCAATAGCCTAGGGTTTGACGACTTTCAACATTGATGCTGACCTTGATAGTTTAACTGGACTCGCTAAGCTGTAGGCACCCGGTCAAGCATCCTGGCCATTTGGCACGCTGTCGTGTTACGTTGCATTGCTCGTATTCGACTCTCTAGCCAGTTAGTTGGAACGCATCGGTATTTTGGCGTAATCATCCAAATATACTATTCCATCCGACTACGCTATCGTGTTCTTCCTTGGTCTCGTATTCGTGGGTATATAACAAGTTCGAATAATTAGTGATTGGTCTTTGCGTCTGTCAAGTTCGCACCAGGACAAATCCTAAATTGGTGAGCCCGACGTGATCAAATATCCCGACGTGATCAAATATCTCGACGTGATCACATATCCCGACCAATAACAAGTATTGAATTGGTGAGCCTGTTCCATTTTATATTCGTTTATTGTTTTCATTTCGATAACATTTATATATCCATTCACTACACTTTCTCATGTCCGACCACACTCCCAAGCTTATTCGTATTAAGCCGACCTCGAACACGATCCAACTCGTGCCATATTGGCCAGACAATGCAGAAACATGGTTTCTGTATGCCGAGGCCGATTTTCGAGAACAGGGTGTCTCAGATCCTCAATCTCGATTTCTTGCTGTCATACGGTCACTACCGCGAGAATTAAACAGGTATGTTACAGCAAACATGTTTAATCCTGAAGTGAGTGACCCTTATGCACTTCTAAAGGCCGCACTCTTGAAGAAAAGCGATCTCACAGATCGCCAACGTCTAGACGATTTGCTTCGTAACATCGAGCTAGGCAGCCACTCAGCTACTGAAGTCCTCGCACGCATGCGAGAAGTAACCGGTGCACGAACATTTGACGATGGTTTCTTCCGAGAACTATTTCTCTCGAAACTACCACAACCGGTGCAAACCGTGTTGGTGACACTCCAGTCAGTCCCACTCGACGACCTGGCAGCCTCAGCAGATAAAATACTGGAGATATCCAGCAGACCCGTCTCCAACGTATATTCCGTCTGCGACAAACCACAGCGCCAGGATTCGGAGGTGACCAAGTTGTGCAACTCTGTGAAACGGTTGCTACGATCTCGAAGTCCTAGATCACGTAGCACTTCACAGAAACGCACCTTAGCGCATCGCAGTAAGTCGCGTGGTAGCCCTAAAACGAAACCCAACAGGGTGGAAAACCCTGAATGGTGCTGGTTTCATAACACTCTCGGGGATGAAGCCAGAAAATGTCGTGAACCATGCCGTTTTAAGAAGGACCCAAACTCGGGAAGCGGTCACGCCGGCACGTGCTCACGGCAACCGTAGCCGGCGGAAAAAGCCGTTTGCTCTACGTCACGGATATTAAAACGAAATTCCGCTACCTCGTCGACATTTCCCAGTTCACGTCAGACATCCGCCACATTTCTGGAGCAAACAACTCCGCAGCCGACGCACTATCTCGAATAGCTTCGATAAACTATATCGAGGGTATTGATCTCGTTGAACTAGCTCGGCGTCAAAAGGAAGACCTTGAGCTGCATCACGAGTTGTCGTCCACAACTCTCAAACTGCGACTTTGTCCTGTTGGATCAGACAAGGATGCAATTTTGTGCGATGTCTCTGCTAGTCAACCACGCCCAATAGTTCCGAAGAGTTGTCGACGCAACGTCTTCAATACGTTGCACAAACTCTCTCATCCAGGTGTACGAGCCACCATTAGGCTTATCGCACAACGTTTCTGCTGGCCTGGGATGAACAAAGACGTTAAGGAGTGGGCCCAGTCGTGCTTAGCTTGTCAAAAGTGTAAAGTCACGCGACACACGAAAAGCCCTTTAGGCTCATTTCTAGCCCCAGACATGCGTTTCGACCACGTCCATATAGATATTGTAGGACCCCTACCAGAATCTAATGGATGTACCTACCTTTTCACCTGTGTTGATCGTTTCACACGATGGCCGGAAGCAGTACCCATTAAAGATATTACTGCCGAAACAGTTGCTCGTGTTTTCGTCGAAAGATGGATCGCGAACTTCGGATGTCCATCCTACGTCACAACCGACCGTGGGCGCCAATTTGAGTGCGGACTATTTCACGCTCTAACGGCACTTTTAGGTTGCACTCGGTTCCGAACGACAGCCTACCATCCACAAGCAAATGGCATGGTAGAGCGTTTCCATCGACAGCTGAAAGCTTCCCTTTCAGCTACAAACATACCTCAGTGGACCGAGGCTCTGCCTCTAGTCCTACTAGGTATTCGTAACGCGTTGAAAGTTGATGCTGGATGCACTCCTGCAGAACTCGTCTATGGGACCACTCTTCGCCTACCAGGTGAGTTTGTTTCCCCTTCAACTTTCAAACATGTTTCCGACAGGGCATCTTACGTGACTAGGCTTACAAACGCAATGCGTTCAGTTAGGCCTTCTCCGATTAGACCGCAAACGACTGATGTTTTCGTCCACCCCAGTTTACAGAAGACATCACACGTGTTTGTTCGCCACGACGCTGTTCGTCGACCACTTGAACCACCCTACGACGGGCCGTTCAAAGTGATTAAGCGACATGAGAAATTCTATGTAATTGAGCGAGACGGACGTGAAGATACTGTCAGTATCGACCGTTTGAAACCAGCTTATTTCGAAGGCAACCCCATTGTAAGTGACGTTTCAGATCGCTACATCCGACCGACGGATGACTCAATTATCGAAATTCTCGACGATGTGCCTGGTAATGCACAGCTGCAACAACCAGCGGCGCAACAAAAAACACGATCAGGTCGAACCGTCAGGTTCCCAGAGTCCTGAAGTCATATTCAACTTAGCTGTGTGTGCCAACCATTTTTTTTCTTTTTTTGAGGCACTATTTTTCTTATTTACCGGCAATGCACAAACCCTCGTACACTTTGCCTTTTTATATCAATTTTTATTTACCATGTAATAAAAACTAAAAAAACCGGCGAAGATAAGCGTAAATTTTTTATTTTTCGACACGTTTATATATAAATAATTCCCATTTTTACGCAACGTTTTCGTGGTATTAAAGACTTTTATTTATATTCCAGGTGCAACGAGCACTGGACGGAACGTCGAAAGGAACAGATGACCGCGACCGACGTACAATTTCATTTATTGTATTTTATTTATTTAATCGCCACGACACCCTAGAATAAGGTTCAGACAACCAGGGGCCACCTCACGCAGTGAGCCCATCGGAAGAGTTTTACCAGTGGAGAAACCACTGGGTTTTTACTTCCGGCTGGTATCGTCTTAGGGTCCTCACGAACCCACTAGGGGGGGAGTGATCTGTAGCGTCATACACTTCCCCAAAATCAATAGCCTAGGGTTTGACGACTTCGACATTGATGCTGACCTTGATAGTTTAACTGGACTCGCTAAGCTGAAGGCACCCGGTCAAGCATCCTCGCCATTTGGCACGCTGTCGTGTTACGTTGCATTGCTCGTATTCGACTCTCTAGCCAGTTAGTTGGAACGCATCGGTATTTTGGCATAACCATCCAAATATACTATTCCATCCGACTACGCTATCGTGTTCTTCCTTGGTCTCGTATTCGTGGGTATATAACAAGTTCGAATAATTAGTGATTGGTCTTTGCGTCTGTCAAGTTCGCACCAGGAGAAATCCTTAACCATAAGGCGCCTACTCTCGCTCTGTATGGAAGAAGATAATCTTTTCAAACAACTTAGTGAGTTTAACGCGCGTCTAAATTATGTCCTGGATTAAACCACTAAGTTATCGAATGCGTTCATCATATGATAATACCGATTAGCAAAGTGCCATATTGTTCACACAACAGGATATGACCATCATCTGATTACGTGAGGCAGCCTTGATTTGGCATACGAGTCCTGACTAGGCAACCAGTATGAATACGACCAGGCTGCAGTAATGCATCACCAAATCATATGGTTTCTGGGCGAAACCCTCGGTGATTCAATTGAAATTAGAAAATCTGGTGGGCAGCAAAACCATGTGGCTCACTTGGCACTGCATCGGGACGAAAACACGGTGGTCACTAATCCCCCTCAAGTTGCGGTCCAAATTTTCATTTCAAATCCCATCATCGAAAAGTATATTACTGTCCCACAACAATAAGGCAAACTCATGCGATATCAAGAGGAGCACCATAACTTATAGATTCGCAACGTCCATCGGCTATATAACAAATTAAACCAAAGAATAGATGTGTGCAGTAACCCCAAATTACAATAAACCAGAACCTGCTGTTTCTCATTCACCCACAATGAAATGATTTCGCATTCCTAGCCGAAACCAATTTGTCAAAGTTTTTAACTGACTTGCTTTCCTTTGGCCAACAATTTCCCCTTCACCACCGTCAACATGTTGGAAGGTCTCAAAATATGTCTCCGACTCGCTATTTGCACGGCCTAAGAAACCGTGTGGACCAAGGCTGTTTGAGTTTCGGGAATCATACTCAGGTCATATCCACAGAGTAAAGCAGAACCAGTCGCGACACTGCTTATCCGCCCGTACAAAAAGTCGACAAACTCCCTGAGAAGCATGTTCTGCATCTTGGTCATAAATAATGGATATATAGTCCGTTAAACCGAATAAAATACCGACGATAACTGCGAAGAAAAGATCTGAAGACCAGTAGGAAAAGCATGAAGTTGAAACTTAAAACGTAGCAGAATTCGTCCCTACATACTGGCAGAACAGTCACTTGTATGCGTGCTGGATGCATGCTTGTACCCGATCACTAGCTTGGACACCCCGAAGGCCAGGTGCAGGCATTAAAAGTATCTGACAAACCAGATGGAAATCTGGTCGCATCGCGGCAGGATCCGTGTGAACTCACTGTTTCAGATAAATCTGACCAAGATGTTGCTTCTAGAGACCCGAAAGTATATAGGTCAAAACGGACGAAAGTCTCTAAGAAGGACATGAGATCTTGAGACAACCAATCACCGTTGGGCGACACAAGCCAATTTTTGTTAAAAAAATGCATCAAATGTTGTTACCACCGTATCAAAAGTCAAGTATTCGGAGTGCAGTGTAATCTGGGACTGCCAGTTTGCAAGTAATCTACAAACTGCGAGTACTAAATTATTATTTCTCACGGAGAGTGTGCTTCCAACTGCCCAACTGTGCTGTCAGCAAGGATTCAGTTAGAAGCCGTTTATCAGGTGTGCGGCGTAATAATTATAATAATGATAAATATATTTCGAACAACAAATTGTACGAACGCATGCCACTTTCACAGGCAGTATCTGAATGTTATTGTTGCCGGTGAGGCTGAGAAAATTTAGAAGGAATACATCACCACACCATACATAGCCTGCCAGGATGCAATTATTCGCATGTTCCTGGTCACAGGTATTGGGTAATAGCCCTTTCGCTACATAACAATAGTGAGTAGTAACACAGGGGTTGTCACCCAGTATGGGCTTTGATCAGCCAACTGTGATTGAGCCTCGAGACTTCAGTTAATGAGGCACACAAACAGTAAAAGTACATAGAATGTCAAATGCCGAGCACAAACAAAGCCGAAAAATGCGAATGATCGATAACACTTTGCTGTTTACAGAGAGCATTCAAAACTAGATATAAATCCTGGTACGGACCGGCGACAGTGCCTGGTATCAGTGTCACAAAGTGTTGAGCAGCGTTTAATGATTGTTAAGGTGTAGGTCGTAGAAAAAATTCGTAGGAATGTAGGGTAGTTGAGAGACTGGTGTGTCAGAAAGACTTGCACATGAACGTAGCCTAGCGGTAACAGCACTCTCACTCCTTCTAGAATCTTCCTTGGGCGTGCACGTGAGGAATTGGGTGACAATTGGGTAAGAGGGACGACGGCAAGGCTGTCTACACATGACCGTTTATAAAAATTGTGTTGAGAAGTAGCAAAGAACGCCAGGCCGTCCGGAGAAATGGTTACAAAGTTAGAGGTAAGAAAATATATGTATGGTTTGATGGGCCACTTGTAGACATAAAATGAGGGGATACTTAAACTATAAGCCTGGTAAAACAGAAATAAATAAGTAAATATCTTTATCCTCAAGTTATGAAGTTAACATGAGAGAAGCCAGTTAACAGGCCTCATCAAATTGATGATTGCAGAGAAACATAAGTGGTTTTAGCAGTATTGAATGGTGCAGAGGGAGGACATTAAACTCTATCACGATACCAAGCGTCCAAATGTTATGAAAATGGCAGAAAAATATCACTTTGCAGTACATACACATCATTCTGAGTTTAAGTCGTTTCTGCTCACAATTCTTTCTTCACATCAAACGGCGCAATATACGGTGTATTCGTTGTGAGTAGTCGACATGATTGACCCATCTACAAGACCAGGTGCTACGTCAGATAAACGTCTATTTCAACAGCAATTCCTAGCTTCTTAGATTTATTGACCAATAATAACTTACTTCAATTATTTCGGGAATAAGTAAGTGTCCATACAATCGTTTAATCCAGGCTGTCTACGCATGACCGTTTATAAAAGTTTCGTTGAGAAGTAGCAAAGAACGCCAGGTCGTCCGGAGAAATGGTGGAAAGTTAGACGGAGAAAATACATGTAAGCTTTGATGAGCCACTCGCAGACGTAAAATGAGGGCTAACATGAACTGTAAGCCTCGTGAACACAAGAGAAGGAGACATGGAAATTTTGGACATTTTGGTAATGAGGCCTCAGCACCCAGTGCTTTTTAGCCCAACACCCGTAAGCTGGACATCTATACCAACAGCCCAGTAACCTTACACACTAATACCAGCGGTTTCAGGAATAAAACGTCCGAGATGGACGAGTTGGCCAACTGTTTAAAACTTTATGTAATGGCCACCAATCAAATGCAGCTGGAAACAATTGTCATCATCCCTGTAGTTATCCTAGCTAATGCATGCTCTGTGACAGATGGTCACAGATCCTGAAGATGCTAGTGCACTCCTATATGCCTATGACAATATGCAGATTTTCTGGACTACTCCTGAGACAAACTGCGCGAGAGAAGGTAAAGGGTAAGGGTGAATGTGAAAACGTCTGGGGAAGAACCTGTCACCAGCAGTATTCCACAGGGTGCCATTCCTGGATCATCACCCTTTATTTCTTGTGTTAATGAAGTACTAAAGATGCTTGAGAAACCATCATCACTGATGACGTCACGATAGTAGGGGTCCGCCCTCATCACTTTTACCAGGTTCGCGCTTCAAGCTGCCCTGGTGAACTAATCAAGTGTCCTAAACGGTGTTGCCCAGAGGTCCGTTTCAGAAAAAGTGTTGTAAACTTCACCTGGAGCGACTTTTCGGGTGGATACCCAATAAGCAATCAACGAATGCTTTGGGTTTCGAAACATAAACGCTGAAGGATTCTCCCAACTCAGGACTAACAGAGGAGTGCATATTGTGCTGCTTCCGCAGGTAAAGGTTTCCACACACCCCAGTCTATTCATATGGCATCCAAATGTCGTGGAGAATAGGCATTTAGGATCTTATACCCCAATCACGTAAAACCTAATTCAGAGAATTGTTTCAAGGCTCATGTTCCAGAAATGAAGCCGATACAGTAAAACGGACTCAAGCGGTTAGCACTGAGCTGGTAACAGGCCTTGCCCACCTTCCCATGTCAAACGACTTTTCATTAATTTACCGTGAGAAGGGAGGATATCCGATTTCATCCTATAGTATCCTGGATAATGAGTTAAATATAGATTCATCAAACTTCTTTGGTCTGTCTAGGACAAACCAGCTTAGGGGGCGTCAAAACTAGGTTAAATGTTGTGGGTGAACCGCTAACAGATGAGTTACTGGTCCTCCCATGCAGTGGCCAACATCTAGAACTTGTTATCGGAACGGGTGGTAGCAGCTCCTACAGTGATGACACTCAAAAAAGCTGGACCTTCATGGAAATAATTACCGCAAGAATTGACACAAGCTGATAACTTGTCATCCCACCCGCTGAAAACTGGTGACTGGCTATTTACACGTGTAGACGTTTAAACAATAGTCTCCAGGTTCCACAACTTATAGCTACGCAGGTCCTCAGAAAACGGGAAAGGCAGTTGGATAGGTAGGGTCTTGTTTCAAATTCAAGGCGCGTGTAAATGCACAGGATCATATGCGTTTGTGATCATTCTGGCTATTTTCGGGCCA